TGGAGAAGGAGGAAAGGCAGTATTCACAAACATTATATACATATATACACATTTCCAGCTATCAGACTGGTGCATGTAGCGGTACTATTTACAATTATTGCACTGCCGTGGTTGACGAGTCCTGTTGCTTCAGTCATAGTTAACTGTTAATTGGAGTGATGGTGTACAGTGTTTTGTGGTGCCATCCAGAGGGAAGGAGTTCAAGCAGTTCATGTCCCAGATTTGAGGGGTCTGCAGAAATCTGAAATGGTCACATTTAAATGGGATGTTGCTATTGGTTATGTTATTAATTCCACATATGCTTTTCCTGCTTTGCTAAGTCAAAAGACCTACCATTATAAGGATCCTTAGCGTCTTCTCTTTTGGCTTTCCACTCCCTCAAAGAGCAGTTCTCAGCTTGCTGATGAACCTGATGTGAAGTTTTTGTACAAATTGCTTTGGATGCTGCTTGGCGATCGACCAAGCGCTCACTCTGAAACATATTGACACCTTAGTAATGTTTCAGCACCTCCTAGTTTATGTAAAGGAAAAATGACTAAATTTAGCTTTAAAGAGCAGCTGAACAACAGCTAAATGTTTTTAATGACCTTTGAAATTGTCACTTTGTGCAGCAATAAGATCACTGTTACAAGGACACAGAGTGTGAACAGGTTTGAAATTTTAAACCAAAATAGGTCAGCAAAGTAAGACACAAAGGTGGATCTAGAAAATTGTGCCACCCCTGGCCACCCCCTGGATCTGCCCATGTATTTTCAACCTGCCACGCGGTTGTATCAAATCATTAGGGTCATGAATTGTCTTCTTTTAATAGAAAGTAATCTTAGCTGTGTGTTACAGTGAAAGAAGTCAACACTAGAGCTACGCAGGACTCCAACAGTGTTCATGTAATATTTACAGTATTCTGTGTAGTGCATCAACATGCCTCTCTCCTCACCATCTGTAGATATGTTTTGGAAATGTAATTTATATGATGTAATGTTTTGCATTCTAATATGCTAACCACTATAAATGTTGTGTCAGTTTTGATTGTGCACTTTGTGCTGTTAATCTGTATTTGTTTAATAGTTTATAGGAAGCTCGCCTTGAAAAAAAAGAAAATCATGGCCAATGTTTTGTTGAGAGTAACGTGCATCATGTAGCTGCTTCAGTTCAGCTGATATTTATTATGGTTTGGTTGGCATTATGTTTACAGTTTAACCAAGTGATTTCTATCTCTCTTTGTGTGTGTGATTGTGTGTCATTTTGTTTGACTGTCCACTTATCTTGAGTGTGCGTTTTCCTTGTATGACCAGGTTTGTGTGAGAAAGAGTATGTCTTGATCTTGTGGATCCTCTTGTATTCAATTTAGGTCAGTATTTATTTGTGGCTTTTTAAAAACCTTCTTGCTTTTCAAGCTGTACATTTATTTATTGAATGTATGTTTTCCTTCTCTCTGAAACTTCTTTTCCTTCCCCAAACTGTAACTGTCCTGTAAATACTAAATTGTAATACCATCCAGCTTACACATGGGGTCACCAGACACTCAAAAACAATAGCACCATGCTGTCTACTATTGACTAAGTCACCATCAGTGGTCTTATTATCAATAAATATACAGAAAACAATTTTGTATTGTGTTCATTTGTGCAGTGATGGAGCCAGCTGCGTACATTTCACATTGACTACGGATGGCAAAGGAAGAGGCTTAAACAGAAGAACCTAGGTTCTGTAAAAGAGACTTCATAGCAAACTCACTAGAAATACACAATTCTACAACTTGTTATGTATGTGTGAACTCAGTGTTAATATACTGAGAACCAGCCTATGAGAAACTGAATGAACACATATTGTAGCCGAAACCCTTCATACATTTAAAAAAAAACTCAAAGTCATCCTAAAGTCAGGATCTAAAATGTGACAAAGCCTCTACTGTTACAAAGCCCCGTGTTGAGGCTCAGCTCCTCTAACATCACAAGGCCTCATAGACCTCACAAAAAAGGAAAAGTACAAACTACACTACAAATACACAAAGAAAACTTCAGGAGAGTCTCACTATCGGGGACCAAATAACCAGAAACAGTGAAACACATTAATGACAGTTTATTGGAAACAACCTGACCTTTGAGAATAACAAATCTGGAAGCCCAGAGAAAACAGATGGTCAGTTCTACCAGCAACAGGAGGTAAGACAGAGCTAAATTGTTATGCCAGCCATAAGAACTTACCAAAATAAAATGAAATCAAGAATTCCATGACTTCAGAGAAAAACAAAGTGACACATCACAGCCTGGGGGAAAACCAACAGAACAACACACATTCATTCAAAATGCCTCCTCTGTTTGGATTCTTTATTTTATTTCTGTTGTTTTTCACTATCACTATTAAATGTACTTTCATCATGTTCCAAACTGATAAAGTCTAATACAACAGTAGTGGAACACATTCTACTGGCATTACATTTATAAGGCTCAGACGTGATCGCTTCAGAGAATACAGTATAGTCTGTTAGACTGGAAGTTGTATTTCTAATATTTAGTCTATCCTCACTGTCTGGGCCAGACAAAATAGATTGTGGTTCAGTGGGTAGAGCAATCGTCTCCCAACTGGAGGGTTGGAGGTTCAAATCATGGTGCCTGAAGTCCACATGTCGAAGTGTCCTTGGGCAAGACACTGAACCCCCAAGTTGCCCCCGATGGTTGGAGTGTGAATCGGTGTGAGTTGGTGCTGCAGATGGCTGCCTTGGTTCCGTACAGGAAGCAAATTCCTTGTGTGTGGAACATACTTGGCCAAATAAATGTGATTACTATTAGAAAAACATCCAATTCAAAAGCACCACAATCCTTCCATTATGTCCACAAATCTGAATCTCTACAACTGTTTTGGTTTTGCTATTATTAAAGTAGTTTTACCCAAAAAACTGGCAGCTATATTCTTTTATTTTAACTAATTACATGTTTTCACAAAAATCTTTTTGTTTCTTCCATCAGCCTGTAATTTATCAATAGGGAAAACAAGCTATTGGTATTTTCTGTGCCTGGATGGATTAGTCTGTGAGACAATGGACTCCTGGGCACAGACATGCAGAAGTCCCCCATGTCTCCTACACTTCCAGGAGCAAGACTTGAGCAACTGGAGTGATTTAGTCATTTTGTGTCTTCTAGTGATTGTTTTGTGTCCTTTTGTAGGTTAGTTGTTGTGCATTTGTTTGTAGCCATACTCATAGTCACTTTGCTTCTATTTTTAGTTGTTATGTCCATTTAAAAATTTGTTTTGCATCTCTGTAGTTTAGCATTTTTGTGAGGGTAACGTCTTGTAGCGGTTTTGTAGGCTAGTTCTTTGATTGACTTTCCAACAGAAAGGTTAACGGCTTTCTGTTTGAGGCCCTGTGACTTCTTGGGCTCCTGGGCCTGGGCCCCGTAGGCCCAATAATTAAACTAACCATGCTTCTGTGACTGAACATTCAGAGGCAAGTTCACTTCATCACATCACGGAGTACCATCTTCATCCACATGATGGCGCTTGGGTATCATCGGAAAACGGACGTGTGGTGCGCGCAATACTAAGTTTAGGAGGTATAGGGCCACACATGTATCTCCGTCTTTCTCTGCCCGCCTCTCCAGCTGCACAGCTGTTGTAGACTACAGCGGAAAACATGGGCGGAAAATCGGTGGGAACGTGCTTTACCCGAGCAGACCGCGCTAACCGGGCTCACTCCAATCTCGTTATGCAAATTACCGGCAGAGCGGCGCAGCAGTGGGTCCGCTAATGGAGCGTGCGTGCCGCTGGCTTCCGCGCCCTGCCTCCGCTTCGCCTCTCCAATACACTTAATGGGTTATAAGCTGGAGGGAGTCATCCACCGGGGAAGCGCTATTACTCACATAGACAAACCCGGACTGAGGAGCCCATGGACACGTTCAAGTGCAGTCAGTCAAATTATGATAAAAGTAGGCTGCACTCAGCAACATTTTAAGTACATTTCTAATTTCTTAGTATAATCGAGGCCAAATTACCAGGGGCCCCAGACTCCCATTGGCCCCAGAGCCCGTTTCACTCCATATCATTTGGGTCTACATTAATCAAACATTTGTACCATCTAGTGTCAGGTCCTCCATCTTTTGGTCCCAGTCTTGAAGAGGGATTTGTTGTCAAAATCTAATTTTAAAGCATGATTGTTGTAGTTTTTTTAATCTACTTTCTTTAAATGTTTTTATTAAATTGCTTCCACCCATGTCAGATGTTTAGAAGTTCTAAAGTAGAGTAAAATAAAAACTAAAATTGTTATATTTAATCAAATTAAAAACGGAAACATTAAGTTAATGAAAAAACATTTGTTTTTGTGTGGACTGAAACAAGTTTACTGTAACTAACACAAACTGAAAATACTGAAATTCATTCATTCATTCTGCTGCCACTACAGTAATCAAATTTAAATTATAGCGAAATAATGGAAATGGTGAAATCAACCATTCTCAGCTGTAGAATGTAAACTCCCCTGAAGTTGTTAAATCTCCCACATTTGCAGAA